ACAAAAAGCAGTAATTGTTTCAAAAATTGATGTTTGACTTCATTAAAATGGAAAGTTTCCATTTCTCAAAAAAAAAAAAAAACACCATTAAGAGAGTAAAAAAAGGCAAGGTCAGAGTGGGAGAAGATATTACTACAGAAGTCAACTAAGAACTCATCCAGAATGTCTAAAGAACATTCTAAAATCATTTTTAAAAATAAGCAAGAAACTTGAATAGGCATTTTACAAAAGAGGATATCCAAAAGGCCAATAAACATGAAATGGTACTCAGCCTCTTTAGTGATCAGAAAAGTGCAAATTATAACCACAAAGAATGGCGTCTTCTCACCCACCAGGATGATTAATGTGTTGGTAAGAATATGGAGCAACAGGAAATCTCATTTTCAGTAACATACTCACTTAGGAAAACAGTTTGGCCTAATCAAGTAGACTAGATTGTGCCAAAAAGGTACACTTACTATATGTACACCAAGAGATAAGAATGTTCATAACAGCATAATTTATGATAGCCAAAAACAAACCTAAATGTCCATCCATAGGAGAGTGGATAAATAAATTATGGCATATTTATGCAAATTGTTTGAATTCTGTTGAGCAATGGAAATTAATGAGCTACAGCTACACATAACAAGGATAAGTCACATAACAATTTTGAATGTAAGAATTCAGACACAAAATAATATATACATATTATGTAATTTTATTTATATGAAAATAAAAAGACAGGCAAAACAAAACTTTAGGTTTTCCTGCTTTGTAGTAAAACTCAAAATAATGGCTTTTTTTGGTGGGGGAGGGATAGGATATTGAATTATTGAATAGTACTCTTGAAAAGGGTCAAGGTCATGAAAGACAAGGGCAGACTGAGGAACTATTCTCCTTATCCTCTTGGTACACCCCATCTGTAGCCCTGCTCAGAACTTTGTATTTTGTTCTGAGTGTAATGGGAATCCTCTGGAAATTTGAGAGCAGAAAAGCGATATGGTTTGATTTTTATTAACTATATTGTGGGTGTTAGTTTAAAAAACTTTATAGGGGTGTCCAAAAAAAAAGTTGGAGACTATTAGATCAGGGAATGATATGAGGAAATTATCTTATTAAGAGGAAACCCAATGTCTTTCTTTGACAAACGAGAAATTATTACACAAATAATTCCATGGTCTGGATGAGAAGATAGTGCTGATGTTGCAATATGAGAGGATTTTAGTCAAGAATAAGCATGTCTGTATTTAAGCTTGTTCAATCTGGAATTTGTTGCTCAAGGGTTATGTGATCACTCTCAGCGATTTGATTTAGGAAAAGTCTTGTCTACATGATAATTTCTCAGAATCACTTTCAACTCTATGATATGTATTACTCATTCCTCCCTTAAGTTTTCTTTTTAAAATTATGTATATAGATGTATTTGTTTAAAGAACCAAACTTTGCATAATCATCTTAAGTGTCCATGAAGGTGAACATAATGTCAGCCAAGGGGTCTCAAACTGGCAGCCTGAGAGCAGAATATAGCCCACTAATGTGCTTCGTTTGGCCTGAATAGTGCTTTAAATGAGTTGAAATCAACATGTTAAAATCAGGGTTTTCTACAGTAATCCAGATTTCTATCTTCTCACGAAAAATTGGAAGATATAGCAACATTGGCCTACCTTCCCACGAAGCAACAATCTACTGGAGTTGGGTTGGGGTAGCCTCCTTTAGATGTGTCATGTCCTTTCTAGGCCATAAGAATTCTCCCATACTGTTCATCTGTGTTATAGTTTATCTAGTAGGTTTATATTATAAACCTTGTCCCTGTAGGGTAAATTTGGGGCATCTGGATAGTTTATGTACCTTCATAATATTCCTTTTTCTTCACCTTTCTAGGAATCCCCCATCCCAGAAGACAAAGACCGCAGATTTGTCTTCTCTTATTTTCTAGCCACTGATATGATCAGTATCTTTGAGCCTCCTGTTCGTAATTCCGGTATCATTGGGGGCAAGTACCTGGGCAAAACTAAAGTTGTCAAACCACACTCTTCCGTGGAAAACCCCATTTACTATGGGCCTAGTGACTTCTTCATTGGTGCTGTGATTGAAGGTAGGTCTACACACAGTTTAGGCTTTCCTACTAGCCAAATGAATGAATTCTTCTTAGTTGTAATTTAATTCAATTAACCCTTATAAGAGGCAGTTAGGCCGCATTCCAGCCGAGATAAAGTTAATATTCTTGTATATGTGGTACAGTGTCTTAATCTCTCTCCTTATCAATTAAACTGTAAATTGGTTGCATTTGTTGGCTATAGATGTAGACCCTGAGCTTCCTAAACACTGAGCAAATGACTGAACATTAGTATAAAGAGCTATTGAAAGTTCATTAGTCTAGCCACAATTGCATATCTGTGAATTTGTCATTGGAGGATCAGTATTATTTTACTCCTGATTGCATGATAAAAACATAACCAATCTAAGTGTATTTCTATCCTCTCCCAGTGTTTGGCCACCGGTTCATCATCCTTGATACAGATGACTATGTCTTGAAATATATGGAGAGCAATGCTTCCCAATATTCACCAGAAGCACTCTTGTCAATTCAGAAACATATTCAAAAGCGAGGAGCTCCTACAGCAGAATTGGAAAAGTATGTTTGATTGTTTAGGATCTGTTTTGGCTTTGGTACAAACGAGATATTCGGGAAATAGTTCTCGATAAAATGAATGGGTAATCATATTTTAGATTTTTAGATTTCCCTCACCAAGTAGGAGTTATTAGTCTTACACAGAAGGTTTTCTGGATCCAATATAACAAATAGTAAATTGCAACTTTTTCAGCTTTATTTAGCAAATAATTACCACATACCTAGTGTTTGTCAGATACTATCACTAGGCTCTTGGGGCTTTTATATTAAACAAAATAGAAAAGAAGTTGCTGCCCTCTTGGAGTTAACCTTCTAAGAAGTGGGAGGTTGCCAGTAAACAACACCAGTAAATTATACAATATATTGGGTGATGAATACTATGGAAAAGTAGAGCAAAATAAGGGTGATAAGGATTTCTGGAGGGTGGTGATGGGTTGCAGTTGATCAGGGGAAGTGGTCACATCTTGAGAAGGTGACGCTGAGCAACCACTCACAGGTAAAGGAGTTAGCCACGTGGATATCTGGAGGAAGAGCTTTCCAGGAAGAGGGAGTGGTGAGTGCTCAGGCCCTAGTAGCAGCACATCTAGAGTACCGAAGTAACACTGGCAAGAAGTAGGTCAGTGACAGTGGCTGGAATGGCATGAGAGGAAGGGAGGAAGTAAGAGAGAGAGATAGGAAACCAACAAGGGGCCCGGTTGTTAGGACCCACTAGGTCTTTGGAAAGATGTTGGCTTTTCTCTGAGTGAAATGGAGAGCCATGTGCGGTTCTGAGTAGAGGGAGCAGCAAGATTTGACATATTTTAAAGAACTATTGTGTTATCAGTAGATTAGGAGAGAAATTGGGAAAATATTGCAATAATCTAGGCAGGAGATGATGGTATGTAGACCAGGGTAGTATCAGTGAAGGTGGAGAGAAGTGATCTGATTTTGGACTTATTTTGAAGGTATATTATAGATATAAGAGACAGTAGTTAAAGATGACTCCAAGGTTTTTGGCCTGAACAACTGGAAGGAAGGAGTTGCCATCTGAGATAGGGAAGATATTCATCTGAGATGGGATAGAGGAGGTTTTTTGGGGGGAGGGGAAGATTTCCCTTTTGGATAGACTAGGATTAAGATAGCTATTAGATATCCAAGTGGAGATATTAAACAGGCTGTTGGATATATAAATCTGGAGTTCAGGCAAGAGATGTAAATGCAGGAGTGTTGGCATGTAGATGATATTTTAAGACACAAGGCTGGGTGAAATCTCTAAGGGGTCAGTGTCGATAAAGAAGAAAATGGCTCCAAGGACTGATCTCTTGGGTCCTCCAACACTTGGAGTTGAGGAGAGAAGACTGAGTAGGAGAACTAGTGAAACAGGAAGAAAACCAAGTGGGTGTGGTATCCTGGAAGCCAAACAGAGTTTGCACAGTAGTATGGGACTGTAAAAATGACTGTGCAAAACAATATTAATAAAAGGAAAATTTAATATTGTTCTGTGACCTTCAAAATTTTTTTGTCAAAACACGAAAAACTCTGATGGTTATAAATATATAGGATAATGAAAAAAATAATAAAATTAATTTTTATTTAGCACTGTCATTTAAAACATTGGCAACATTGAGAATTAAAGTGTTTTATTTCTTTGTAAAAAACTTATCAAGAGTAGTTTGAACATTGCTTGCTTTTTCTCATCATATAACTTATGATACAGAGTGAACATCTTTTCTATGCCTTGGCAAATTGTCGTATTCCTTTCTAAGTTTAGAACAGCTTCCAGCATTTTATTATTTTTGCTTTGAGTGTTGTGAAATATCTCCTAGAGTTCCTTTAAAGACAGCGAAATATCTCTGAGAGTTTTTAACAGCAGTTTTTTGCTGGCTTCTGGAATATGTCCATCCTTTTCATTACAGTCACTTTTAAATGTTTCAGGATCTCAAAAGCTTTTTGTATATGTGGTTTATAGCTATTGATATCTACAAAATTAGAGATTATATCTGAGACATTTAAAAATATTAATGTAAAAAATAAACCCATTTTATGTTAATGAAAATAACATGAGTTTTATGAAAAATTACTGTATTTTCCCAAACAAAAAGAAATTAGCGAGAAGAGTGGCATTGTTTTACAGTTTTGCAACTCTCTTTAATATCCAACTTTATTAATAGAAGACAGCTCTATTTTCATCTGCTTCTGTACTGAGCCTACTGTGATATAATTCATCATGTAACCTTTGGAAAACTCCACTGTGCATTTTTGAGAAAACAAGAGTGAAAAAGCAAATCATGATTTAGCATTATTATGAAAATAGTTTTAACCTTACAAAAGGGTCTTGGGAACCTCCAGGGCTGCTGGGACTACTCTTTGAAACATTAATCTGTGGTAACAGGCAGGAAGGTGGCAGAATGTGTGGATTCAGATGCTGGTAGGTGGGTACCTATGGTTGAGGGATCCTTCTTATTGTGTTATTGTTTTCAATGTAGTAGTACAGTAGAAAGAATGAGGTTGAGGAGATGTTGGAGGTTTCAGAAGAGAGGAAAGTTGTGAAATGCTCTATTGACTACATAAATAAAATAAAATGAATATAAAAATAAAATGAAAATAAATACATAGAATTATTTTATCTGCTACTAAGAAAGAAAAAACTATCATTTATAGTTGATATTTACCATCAATTAAAAACTACATCTTGATTCCACAGATGTAAAAAATGTGAAAAAAAAGTGTCTCAAGCCTGACAAAATACGGCAACTGTCTAAGAAAGTGGGAGGGTGAATGGACTAGAGAAGCATAGTTTGAGGGCTGGGCAACATTAAGGCTTGAGTTGAGATCATGATCATACATTTCATTCAAATACTTCTCAAAAGTGTTTTTCTATAATTTTTTCATGTCTGTGCAAATACCAGCAATAATGGAAAGCTTCTTGCTTTGGCGTACTACCAATAGATTTTTTTTCTCATTTAGTAATAAGAAAAAGATAGTGCTGTGGCCCTTGGAATGAGATACCAATAAAAATAAAGAGAAATTCAAGTTCTGGCTTAAGAGATCCTTTGCTATCCTTATTTGAGTCACCACTCCTCTCTCTTCTTTTGATGGGTCAGAGAGAGAGAAAATACTAGAAGAGGATAGGAATACAAGTGGTACGCCTTTCGTGTCTTCTAGCCATTCCGTCTTTGGCTTCCAATTCCTCTCATCTGATAAAAAAAAGAGGACACACAAATCCTTTATTCGACTAATCATTGCTAAGAGTAATTAAAGTGGATCCCAAGTACTTGTCAAGCCTGAGTAATTTTTATATCAAATGTTAGTTACAGGATGAAATTTGGAGTTAGCCATTTCTCTTACTAAGCCAGAAAATTAAAATAATGCTTCGGTAAATCAACATCATCTGAAGTTCTTTTGGGCTTTGGGTCCTCACTGCAATATACTGGACTCATACTTAAAACAAATACTCATTAATCCACCCCTCTACAGGATCTCTACATGTGTGAATAGCATAAATACACACATGTATTCATACATATTATTTTTGTTCTGTTAGCATGCCCATTTGTGCTCTTCAGCTTCTCCCCTGCTTTGTCCATTTTCCGTAAGCCCCAAGTTCTTCCACATTTACTTTGCAGTTGGTCGCAAATATGAGCAAATGATCCAATGTGAGCCTCTTCAGTTTTCCCACTATTTACCTTAGAATGTTTCTGCATGATTACTTGTCTTCTCTTTAACTTCTTGTCAGAGATAAGTAGCTCGCATTTCTGACTGCTCTATAAAACTTCATAAATTGCTTTCTTGAAGATTATTGTTTCCTAATCTAATGGTCTCTTGTCATTTTTTCATTAATTCAACAGATACTTGAGCTTGCATCATCTCCCAAACCTTAGTAAATTATTAGGCAAATATATGAGAGAGAGCAGTTGGAAAACTCTTTTGTAAAGAGGTAGGTAGTGAACAGTTTAGGTTTTGTGGGTTATACTATCTCTGTTGTAACTACTCAACTCTATCCGTATAGGGTGAAAGCAGCCATAGACAAATGTAAATGAATGGGTGTGATGGCTATATTTACGATTCAGCATTATTTAGAACAATAGGCAGCAGGCTGGCTTTGGCCTGTGGGCTGGAGTTTGCCAACCCTTGGTCTAGCGTTTAGCCTTTTCAACTACATATAATATAAATTATTCTTTACCACCCCTGTTTTGGAACCTTCATTCTTTTTTTAATTTTTATTTTTCAATTAGAGTTGACATTCAGTATTATTTTATATTAGTTTCAAGTATATAGTACAGTTGTTGGATAGTTATATAATTTATGAAGTGATTCCCCAAGTAGTCTAGTACCACCTGGCACTGTTCATGGTTATTACTGTATTACTGACTATATTCCCTATGCTATACTTCGCATTCCTGTGACTATTTAGTAACTGCCAGCTTTAAACCTAGCCTTCCAAACCCCACTCCCATGTGACAATCACCAGTTTGTTCTCTGTTTGTATGAGTCTGTTTTTGGTTGGTTGGTTTATTTTGTTCCTCAGATTCCACATATAAGTGAACTCACATGGTATTTGTCTTTCACTTAGCATAATACTCTCTAGGTCCATCCATGTTATTGCAAATAACAAGATTTCATTTTTTTATGGCTGAGTAATATTCTATTGTATATATGTACCATCTCTTCTTTATCCAATCGTCTGTTGATGGACATCAGGTTGCTTCCATATCTTGGCTATTATAAAAAGTGCTGCAGTGAACATAGGGGTACATATATATTTTCAAATTTGTGTGGTTTTCTTTGGTAATACCCAAAAGTGTAATTAATTGCTGGGTCAAAAGGTAGTTCTATTTTTAATTTTTGGAGGAACCTCCATACTCTTTTCCATAGTGGCTGTACCAGTTTGCAATCCCACCAACAGTGCACAAGAGTTCCCTTTTCTCCACATTCTTGCCAATGCTTGTTTTTTGTTTGTTTGTTTGTTTTTGATTTATTGATGATAGCCATTCTGATGTAAGGGTGTGAAGTGATATCTCATT